TGTGGGGAGACAAATGATGTATCTGAAATACCTCTGATTTCGAGCCAAGCTTGTGGGACAGTGATTTGTGGGGAGACAAATGATGTATCTGAAATACCTCTGATTTCGAGCCAAGCTTGTGGGACAGTGATTTGTGGGAGACAAATGATGTATCTGAAATACCTCTGATTTCGAGCCAAGCTTGTGGGACAGTGATTTGTGGGAGACAAATGATGTATCTGAAATACCTCTGATTTCGAGCCAAGCTTGTGGGACAGTGATTTGTGGGAGACAAATGATGTATCTGAAATACCTCTGATTTCGAGCCGCAATGAACAAATTAAGTTTGTTTGTTTGTAATTAAGCACAAAAGTTACACAATGGGCTATCTGTGCTCTGCCCACCACGGGCATCGAAACCCGGATTCTAGCATTGTACCTCTGCAGACATACCGCTGTGCCACTGGGGGGCAACAAATTAAGAATGTGAAAACAACAACAACAACAAAAAAAAACATCTGATTATTTTTACGATACATTTAGGCCTGTTACTTTTCTAATATTTAGCGGTTTCTGGCGTTTAAACAGTACTTTTAAATTATTGTTCTTTACCAAACAATTCAGAATTACTAGTAATAATTCTTACGCACTTTAATATTATTTTGATATATAAAAAATTACTCCAAATGATGACTAACTACATTTAAACAGTGAATAATTACAAATAGATTATAGATCCTTTAATTCTTCTATAAATACATCGTTACAGCTTTTAAATAAGAAGAGTACAAACAACGCCCTCTAGTTATTGTATTGGCGAAGGTGAAGTTTTACATTTTGTCAGATTAAAGTACTGAACATATAATCTATCTAGAATACGAGAAGTAGCCAGGAAAACATGGCACGTGACAGTTTGTTAGTTTGTTTAAATCAGCCCCAACTTTCTTTTTATGGTGATTGAAATGTTCTCACCTTCAGATTTAGTCCAGCTTACTCTGGGGCGAGGAAAGCCGTCAGCTTGACAGTCGATGAGGGCGGTGCTGCCTTTAATCACAAAAGTATCACTAGGTTCCACGCGCCACCTAGGGGGCACTTTAAAAACAAACAGAGGTATGAGGATAAAACTTCTACTGTCTATCTTAAACAAAGTTTGAGAATGACATTTTTACAAAAAAACACTTTAATTTTAAGATTTCTACGGTTAAGTTAAAGATTGAAGTTTAACGTTACAACAGGTATTTATAAATAATGTTTGGCTGAAGTTTTGGGCTAGTACTAAGGCTAACCCTAGTACTAAGCTATCAGTTTATCATATTTGCGGCTGAACCTACTGCCGAGAGTTTCAACGCTATTTATTCATAGCTGTTATGTTACACCATAGTTCTTTGTCAATTTATCTCTAATGAAGAAGCTCTATTTTCTGCTTATCAGACTTATTGCATCTGAAAGTGTTCTGATTATCAGATTTATTGCATTCTCATTTATCTATTTTTTTATACCAAAATTTGTTTAAGTATCGTGAATGTTGTTGGTGTTGTTTGTTACTAAGCATAAAGCTAAACGGAAGGTTATCTGTGCTCTGCCCACAACGGGTATCGAAACCATATTTCTAGCAGAATAAGTTCGCAGACATACCACTGTGCCAGTGGGGGGCGTATCGTCAACAATTAAAACTAACCATTGTACAAAAGTTTGAATCTGAGGCTTGTGCGTGTAATCTTATGACTAACGTCTCAAGGTAGAAATGTTTGAATTACCCTGTGATTAAGGTTACAGACTAACATTGTTATGATTAACCTTCAAAGTTGATATGTTGAGACTAGCAGATATAAGACTAAAAATTTGGCTTATCCTTTAAGTTTTGGCGACGAAGTTTAAGGCCAAGTTCAAATTCATGGCGGCTAGTAACAATAATGTTACACCTGTAATTTGAACAGTTTCTTTGTTTTACAGCAAAGTCACATTGGGCTATCTGCTATATCCATTGCGGGAAATCGAATCCCGAATTTTGAGGTTGTAAGTCCGTAACCTTACCGTTGTCCCACCGTAGGAATGTAATTTGAAGAATCTTTGATATTTGAGATTGAATTCCGGACAACATCTTATGCCACACATAGACTACAGGAACAGGTAATAAACTGGAAAATTCAAGCACAGCTATTCCTAATTTAGAACTGCTGACTAAAAGGAGAGCAATGAATGAGCATCACCCACCGCCTATACTGCTACTCTTAATCGAATAATAGGATTGACTGTTGCATAAATAATGCCCCCCCCCACAGTTGAGAGGGCATACTTTGTTCAGTGGCATATCGCGGCTTGAGCTTTGAACCTTCTGATACACAGCCCGGCTCCGCTAGTCATAGGACTAAAATCTGATCTGATATTTTACGGGTAATTTAATGCATTCGACTTTCTTAGAAAAAATTAACTTCTAATAAAACTATAAATATTCTACACCCAAACCGTACCATGAATTACCATTGTTGCTGTGTGGCTGTCAGAACCTGCTGAATTCCTTGCGATGCACGTGTAGTTACCATGGTGTTCTGGCCTCAAGGACTTAAAGATTAAAGTGGACGAAAACTCAGCCACACTGAGAACTTGAATATTTAAATAGTCTTCGATCCTATGGCCATCTTTGAGCCAAGTGAACTGGACAGGAGAATCACCACTAATGACAGTACAGATGGGTGTAAACCGTTGACCCTGATAGACCGACGCTGGAAAACTGAAGGGGTCAATTACTGGACGTTCTACAAAAAAAGTCATATATATATATATAAGGACATCAATTATTAAAAAGCCTTGATTAAATTAGAAGAAATCTAAATAAGCTAATCACTCGATGAAGAAATATTTTTAAAATTAAAATTAAAAGCGTTATTTACTGTTGATCTGAAAGAGCAACAATATTCTTGATTTAAATAATAGGTCCCTGGATGATCTGTAGGTAAAGCAACTTTCGTTGTTATTAAGAATAGCTTAGAATTATATCATTATATCATAACAATAGCTTTCCTGTCAGGGTTCTTCACTGCTTCTTATGGTCATTTCAAATGTTCACGTAAACCTTACTGTGATGGATTAAGGAAAGAGGTCGTGAAGGGTTACAAGAACCATGAGTCCAAACTGTTCTTTCCTTCTGTGCTAAACCATGACTCACTAACTGAAGAGGGTTTCCTGAGAATACGTTAATATTACGAACATCTTCAATATCTTTCGCTTCCGTTATAGGAACCAACTCATAATAAATAAACGCTGGAAATATTTTGTTTACAGTCTGAAGTCAGTGCAGGAATTAACCTTAACTATACTTACCATCAGTCCTAGCTAGATAGATTTACTACATAAGACAAATAGATAGATAGGTGTATTATACAAGACACATAGCTAGATTTATTACCCAAGACAAGTAGATGTACTGTATAAGACAGTTATTACATTGGTTCATTATATAAAACGGATAGCTACATTGATTCATTATAAATGATAAATATATTAATTTATTACACAAGATAAATAGATACATAGATTTATTACACAAGATAAATAGATACATAGATTTATTACACAAGATAAATAGATACATAGATTTATTACACAAGATAAATAGATACATAGATTTATTACACAAGATAAATAGATACATAGATTTATTACACAAGATAAATAGATACATAGATTTATTACACAAGATAAATAGATAGACAGATAGATGCACTATATACAACAGATAGCTACATTGATTCATTATATTAGATATATAGATTTACTACAGAAGACAGATGGATAGATGAATTACACATGACATATAGATTGACCAGTTATAAAAAAACGCGTGATTGCAATAACACGGTTAGATATTAACGACTATATAACTATACTAACAATACAGTAGTAGTACATAGGACAGGCATGGTCAAAAATATAACTATAGTAACAATACAGTAGTAGTGCATAGGACAGGCACGGTCAAAAATATAACTATACAACCATAGTAACAATACAGTAGTAGTGCATAGGACAGGCACGGTCAAAAATATAACTATAGTAACAATACAGTAGTAGTGCATAGGACAGGCACGGTCAAAAATATATCTATATAACTATGGTAACAATAAAGTTGTAGTGCATAGGACAGGCACCGTCAAAAATATAACTATATAACCCCGTGCCTGTCCTATGCACTACTACTGTATTGTTACTATTCAAAAATATAACTATATAACTATAGTAACAATACAGTAGTAGTGCATAGGACAGGCACGGTCAAAAATATAACTATATAACTATAGTAACAATACAGTAGTAGTGCATAGGACAGGCACGGTCAAAAATATAACTATATAACTATAGGAACAATACAGTAGTAGTACATAGGACAGGCAAGGTCAAAAATATAACTATAGTAACAATACAGTAGTAGTACATAGAACAGGCACGGTCAAAAATATTTTTGTACTGTTTTTAGATCAATGAAATGTACGGTTCCTAATTCAAACACGGTTGCTATGGCAACCTGTTTTAATTAGAACAATTTGCTCATTTCGTGAGTTCACAGAGCAGTAACTTAAGACAAAAAGTGAAACAGTCACGATATTAAAATGGACTATCGATTTTACTCATTTAAAACTACTAAACTGAAGCCTCCAGCCTGCGTGTAAAGAATCCATAGTTTCATTTAGATTCCACAATATTAACGAAAAATAATTAGCATGTTACTCGTTAAATTTCCTGCTGAAAAATTACTTTTAAAATCTATTCGTAATTAATGAAAACAATAGTCTTTATTACCATATTTGTGGTCTTATTTACTTAGTTTCTATCTGTTTTGTTGTTTTGTTTTAGAGCAAAGCCACATTGGGTTATTTGATGTGTCCACCGCGGGGAATCGAATCCCGGTTTCTATATTGGTGATGTAGTTATCTATATTTAATATTCTCCGTTTTTTATATTTTTATATTTTTTAAGTTAAATAATTATATTCTATTATTTTGTTATGATTTTTCACGCTTCCCTTATTTACTAACTAGTATATTAGCTTAAAATAATTATTCTATGCGTATTATCTACTTAATTTATTCTTAGCATCTGAAGTAATAAAGATATGTTTAGCTGTAAGTGTATATGATAGTACGTATACCGCCGGTTACATAACTGAATATCAAATATGTTCGCCATCAGCTTACACACTGTTTTTCGACAAAAAAACAGATTACCTCAAGATGTATGTAAGTTTGTACACTCAACGACTTCTAAATAGTGAAATATAGTTCGAAGGTTTATTCTGTGAAACTTTGTCTTCCCTTGCTACTTTTTAACACAAATTATTTTGTTTTTTTTTATGTTTTAGTTGTTTCGCTATAAAATCGTTATCTGTGACACACAAAACAGGCAAGATTTATTACGTGCCTAAGCCTCTTTGAGTTTTAAGTCTCTCTCTTATCTAAAGACAAACAGCTTTTAAACAGTAAAGACATGAAGCCTTACCTAAAACCGACACCACTAAGCTATTTTGGGCTGTGTTTCCTTCCTTATCGCTAGCTTGGCAGGTGTACCTTCCTTCATCTGTGGCTCTCATAATGTCCCTCACCACTAAGGTGCCGTTCAGGTAAACCTTTTGTCTGTGATTGTACGGGAGGCGTACGCCCTCTGGAACATATCATACACACAACGATCAAAATGACCGACGTTTTAACCTATCTATAAATGACCACTAGGTAACAAAATTGGTAGTTAAAAAGATCAGCTGAAGATTTAGTAATGATCTGCTTTAAAAATAAGAAAAGAAAAACCATTAGAAAAGTTGTTCTATACTATTGCATAATATTGAGCTTGAACTAGAAATAAATCATAAACAAAACAACACATATCTCACTTTCCAAACCGGTCTAATACAGAGGAGTAACACTCATCTTCCAAACAGACTTAACATAAGATTAAAATCAATCCATCCTTCCTAGTTGGTCTAACAAGAAAAACTACACTCATCTTCCAAGCAGGCTAGACATTATATAAAAATCTGCCGTTCCTTCCAAGTTGGTCTAATACAGAAGAAGAACATTCATCATCAAAGCAGACTAGACATAATATAAAAATCCACCCTACCTTCCAAGTTGGTCTGGTACAGAAGAACAACACTCATCTTCCAAGCAGACTAGACATAAGATTAAAATCCATCCATCCTTCCAAGTTGGTTTAATACAGGAGAAGAACATTCATCTTCAAAGTAGACTAGACATAAGATTAAAATCCACTCTTCCTTCCAAGTTGGTCTTATACAAAAGAACAACACTTGTATTCCAAGCAGACTAGACATAATATAACAATCCACTCTTCCTTCCAAGTTGGTCTAATACAGAAGAGCAACATTCATCCTCCAAGCAGACTAGACATAAGATTAAAATCCACCCTTCCTTCCAAGTTGGTCTTATACAGAATAGGAACATTCATCGTCCAAGCAGAGTAGACATAATATAAAAATCCACTCTTCCTTTCAAGTTGGTCTAACACAGAAGAAAACCACCCATCTTCCAAGCAGACTAGATATAAGATTAAAATCCACCCTTTTTTCAGGTTGGTCTAATACAGAAGTACAATACTTATCTTCCAAGCAGACTAGACATAAGATTAAAATACACCCTTTTTTTCAAGGTTAGTCTAATACAGAAGGACAATACTTATCTTCCAAGCAGACTAAACATAAGATTAAAATGTACCCTTCCTTCCAACTTGGTCTAACACAGAAGAGTAACATTCATCCTCCAAGCAGACAAGACATAAGATTATAATCCATCCTTCCTTCCAAGTTGGTCTAATACAGAAGAACAACACTGATCTTCCAAGCTGACTAGACATAATATAAAAATCCACTCTTCCTTCCAAGTTGGTCTAGTACAGAGAACAACACTAATCTTCCAAGCTGACTAGACATAATATAACAATCCACCCTTCCTTCCAAGTTGGTCTAGTACAGAAGAACAACACTGATCTTCCAAGCTGACTAGACATAATATAACAATCCACCCTTCCTTCCAAGTTAGTCTAGTACAGAAGAACAACACTGATCTTCCAAGCTGACTAGACATAATATAACAATCCACCCTTCCTTCCAAGTTGGTCTAGTACAGAAGAACAACACTGATCTTCCAAGCTGACTAGACATAATATAACAATCCACCCTTCCTTCCAAGTTGGTCTAGTACAGAAGAACAACACTGATCTTCCAAGCTGACTAGACACAATATAAAAATCCACTCTTCCTTCCAAGTTCGTCTAATACAGAGAACAACACTCATCCTCCATGCTGATTAGACATAAGATTAAAATACACCCTTTTTTCAAGGTTAGTCTAATACAGAAGAACAACACTGATCTTCCAAGAAGACTAGACATAAGATTATAATCCACCCTTTCTTCCAAGCTGGTCTAATACAGAAGAGTGACACTGATCTTCGAAGCAGATCCTTTCTTTGAACATAGCACAGAAGAATAACACTCATAATCAAAGTAGATTAAAAAAAATAAACTTCAGCCTTTCAACAAGTCTTACACAGAAAAGCATCATTCATCCTGCACGCAGACGTAGATTAAAAAGAAAATTAAAATTCACTCTACTCTATCTTCTACCCTGTCTTGCACAGAAGAGACTTTTAAAGCAGACTATACTTAAAGGTATCACAAAATTTAAGTAACTTTCACCTCCCCTTTCTAACAAGTGTTACATGGAAAAGTAACACTCCTCCCTCCTGTCTGAAATGTTTTACGTAATTATTATTCATTTCTGACCAAAGCAGGATACACTTATGTATCATAACTAAAAATGAATCTGTTACTGAATATATTAAATAATAATTGTAAATGCCTACGTTATATTATTTTCAATTCTAATTTCATTAACATTAGTGGCTAGAATGTTTAATTATCTATTTTATTATTTCTTATCATTATACTTTTATTATAGATTGTTTTGCATTGTTAGCTTGGTAAATGGATTTAGGACTAATCTAAATCCCTTAAATTAACTAAACTTCGTGAAATATTATTGGGTTTATGGCCGAAAATATCGTTAATAGCGAGGTTATCCAACTAAAGAAACAATGCATTCTAATCATTATAAGTAAGAATGGGTTAATTTGTAGCTTTGAAGTAAATATGTAGCTTGCTTTGATCAAAAGTTAATAGTATATTCTATTATTAGGATCTTATTCATAAACAATAGAAAGCATTATTTCATCATTTATGTACCTTCGCTGTTAGTGATATTTTCGGCCGTAAGGTAGCTCTCTCTGCACCTACCTAGCAGGTGTAACATAACATATTCCAACCTACTTTGTAGCAGGTTTTACACAGGAAAGTAACACTAGTTCATTCGAAACAGATCTTATAGAACAGCAGCACAAAATTGAAACCTTTCAACACAAGAAACTTTGGGTGCGATTTTACTTATACATTTCAAACATTCCATTAGGGTTGGCTATAAAGTCGGTATACATTTCAAACATTCCATTAGGG